GTGTTCAAAAAATTTAGGGGAAGGATTTTTTTTTTCTTTAAAATTTTCCATTTTAAATTGGTTATTTCTGATTTATATATAAAAGCAAATAATAATGATATGGTTTGAATAGGTAAATTAAAAAAATTTAAGTTCTTAGACCACATTCATTCTGTGTCAGAAACCTAAGCTGTGTCAAATATTTAATCACAATCCAAATTCAGTGCTGTATCAAGCTTGAATGTTGTGTCCATACTTGCCCCAACTGTTCAGGGTTCGACCTCTGCGGTCGTATCAAACTGCGCACAGCGGAGCATTTTATTGTGTTTTGGTATGTTTTTCTTCAACTATAAGCAAAAGATCAACTATATTTGTTGTATGGAAGGATTGTAAGGTGTATATGTCTGTCTGGCAGGTATCATCTGACCTTGACCTCATTTTCATGGTTCATTGGTCAATGTTAAGTTTTCATGGTTAAGTTTGTTTCTTATATACTATAAGCAATTAAGGTCAACTATATTTAATGGATAAATTGATTGTAAGGTTTACATGTCTGTCTGGCATGGTTCATCTGACCTTGACCTCATTTTCATGGTTCATTGGTCAATGTTAAGTTTTCTTGGTTAAGACTGTTTCTTAGAAACTATAAGCAATAGGTCAACTATGTTTGGTTTATTGAATGATTGTAAGGTGAACATGTATTTCTCGTTTGGTTTATCTGACCTTGACCTCATTTTCTTGGATCATGTTAAGTTTATGTGTTACTTGTAGTAAAGCTTTATATTTAGGACTTTCAACATAAAATCAATGGTTAGTAAAGAAGGGGAGACATTTCAGCGTGTGCACTCTTGTTTTCTTTTTTAGCCATGGCATTGTCAGTTATTTTTCGACTTTTCTTTTTTAGCCATGGCAATGTCAGTTATTTTTTCGACTTGTGAGCTTGAATGTCCCTATGGTATCTTTTGCCTCTCTTTTTCAAATGTCCAAGTGATATTCACACCACGAATTGCATGGATAATTTAAGACAATCTGGGTGCTGTGTGCAGAATGTTTTCCCTCCTCTGTGCCCCTTGTAAAGGTAAATCATATGGAAAATCAACATTGAAAGTACTCTCATGCCTAAATGAGTAGAGCCACTGAGTAACCCAAATAAAGGCCCTGTAAAGGTGTTTTTTTTTAGTAGATAATGTGTATGTGTTGCAAAATTTGTACTTTTTATACGCCCGTTTACTGGACATATTATGGTATACCTTTGTCTGTCTGTCCGTCCGTCTGTCTGTCCATCCGTCCGTCTATCCGTCCGTCTGTCTGTCCGTCAACAACATGTCGGACATTAACTCGAAAATGCTTTAACCAATTTGCATGAAACTTTGGTGAATTGTTTATATATATATTGACGTGAGCTCCCTTTCATTTTTTATAAATTTCAGATTTGACGTTTCTGAATTTTGGGGTTTTATTCGTAACAAAAAGGGGGATTTTCCAGTTTTCGGAAAATAACTCAAAAACAAACTTTGGTGAATTGTTTATATATATTGACATGAGCTCCCTTTTGATTTTTATAAATTTTAGATTTTATGTTTTTGAGTTATGGGGTTTTATTCTTTACAAAAAGGGGGATTTTCCTGTTTTCTGAAAATAACTCAAAAACAAACTTTGGTGAATTGTTTATATATATTGACATGAGCTCCATTTTGATTTTTATAAATTTTAGATTTTATGTTTTTGAGTTATGGGGTTTTATTCTTTACAAAAAGGGGGATTTTCCTGTTTTCGGACAATAACTCAAAAATGCTTTGAGCAGTTTTCCTTAAACTTTGTTGAATTGTTTTTATCTATTGACTTAGCTCCCTTTCAATTTTTATAAATTTCAGATTTTAGGTTTATTATTTATGGGGTTTTATTCATTAAAAAGGGGGGATTTTCCAGTTTTCGGACAATAACACAAAAATGCTTTCAGAAGTTTTCATGAAACTTTGGTAAATTGTTTATATCTATTGACATAAGGTCATTTTCAATTTTTATTAATTTCAGATTTTACGTTTACTAGTTACAGGGTTTCATTCATAAAGAAAGGGGGTTTTCCAGTTTTCGGACAATATCCTTAAAGTGCTTTGAGTAGTTTTCATTAAACTGTGGTGACTGATTTATATCTATTAAGATAGCATCCCTTTAGTTTTTTATAAATTTAGGATATGACATTGAGAAGTTGTTGAACTTTATTCTTTGAAAACGTGACAGGCAAATCATGCGCTCATGGCGCAGCTGTTTATTTAAAGCATAATAAGTAAAATTGTATATCTGCTTCATATTTATAAATATGTTAGAGCCTAGAATAGAAATAGATTTCATTTTAGTCCGTTTTTCTAGAAATTTGTCACCTTTTTCAACCATTTTCCATGATTCATATGTAGCGCCACTTCTCGCCCATTGAAATTTTGAAAAGTAAAGAATATGATATTTAAAGAATATTTCAGCAAAAATATTTGTGGGCGAGGGTGACCCAACTGTTTATTTTTTTCGAAAACTGTCATAAATTTTTCCAAATTGTGCAAAAAAAATCAGGTTTTATCAAAATACACCTACATTTATGACGTTACAAATACCTCACTATGATGCAACTGGTGAAATCTTTTTTAACTGAAACAATTGGACATTTTGATATACTGTGGATTCATTAATCGTGGGTACCAATTTTCGTGGTTTGAGGAAAACATGCATATTCGTGGATATATAATTTCGTGGTTTTGGCAAAGTCTGCATTCGTTCCTTTAGAAAATTTGTAATTCGTTGAATATTTAAATTCGTGGTTCTTTTGTACCCACGAAATCCACGAAAATTGGTATCCAACGAATATTAATGAATCCACAGTATATGTTTTCACCAAATTTTCACAACATTAACATTTTAAAATTTTGCATATTTGTAGGGCAAAAATTATGAATTAGAGAACCAAGTCCTTTTTTATCAGAGTTTGATTAAATGTATGTTAAAAGGTTTACACCAGCGTCACCTAAGACAACTTTGAAAAATTAGCAAGGATAGACTATTTTTACTGGAATTAGACCCCTTAGAAATAAAATTGATTTGTCAATTTCAGTTTTGATGGTAGGGGAGCATTTTTAATATTTTAGATTTTATATGGGAGCATATCTTTATACATTCCTCATTTCTTCTCAATCGGAGTAAAAACATGGCCGTCAGAGACAATTTTTGGATTCTGATGGATCGAAATTTCAGATTTCTTATCGTCTGAATGCCTAATCTTTCTAGGAATGATGACTGGAAGGCCTTCTTAATAAAATCCTCATTTTGTGCTGATCAGGTGGCATCCACAATGGCTAAAAGGGCTCATACAATGTAGGTTTCCTTTGAAGCCTTTGGGAAATAATTTTTTTATCATCTTTTCTTAAACCAGAAGGCAAATATTAACTAAATTTTGCAGGGTTAATGTATTGAAGGGTGTATATAAAAATCCTCACTTTGTCCAATCGATTTAAAAACATGGCAACCAGAGACAATTCTTGATTCTGATTGGTCGAAATTTCAAATAACTTTTCCTCTGACAATACGATGCCAAATTTCTCAAACTTTATAGGATAGGTGATTGGGATACCCTCTACTAAACATCATCATTTCATGCTAATTATACGACATACCTGGTGGATACAGTGGCACATAAGTTTCAAGCAAAACTATGGGAAATCACATTTTCATCATTCCCTTTGAAACAGATGAAAGTAACCAAACTTTGCAGGAATAATGTATGGAAGAGTATCTATTAAAAAAACTTATTTCATTCCTATCAGATGAAAAACATGGCTTCCTGTTCCAGAGGCAATTCTTGATTCTGGTTGGTCCTATTTCAAATTTCTTCTCCTCTGAAACTTCAATGTAAAATCTTGTTAAACTTCATCAGAATGATAAAAGAGTAATTCATTAAAAAAAGTCATATTTTTGTGCTGATTAGATAGCACACCAGGTGGCTACTGTGACAAATTAGGCTGTTCTCCAGGTGAGCGATTCAGGCTCCTTAGGACCTCTAATTTATCGAGCATGTGTATAATTAGTCAACAATAGCTCATAGTACATCTAGTTTGTATATATTACATATTATAGAAAACAAATGATATGGGGTATCTATCCATGACACAAAATCAGTACATGCACAGCAAAAAAAAAAAACACACAAAAAGCAAAGGAACAGTGCTTTTATTGCTGTTTTTCCTCTCAAAGTCACAGAGAGGCCTTCAACATGGAGCAAATAAACTCTCACCTCACTACAAGTTTAAGACGGCCCCTAGCACCAGCTTGATCAGAATTCTTTGCAAAATTAACTCAGATAGACTTTGTAAGATGTAACACCACCAAACGAGCCTGGTCAAAAAGAACATACTAGAAAGTAGTACATATTTAAAGCAAAATAGTTCCTACACATAGGTATAAATATCAAACTATGTAGAATATATTTTGGTTATTTAGATATCAAATGAAAGGTGAAGGACTGGTGATCCTTGTAGAACACAGTTTGACTGATAATTTTGAATAATACAAAAATGTATGAATGAATTCCAAAATTAAGGGCATATATTTTCTGTTTCTCTGATATGAAGTACCAAGTTTGGAGTATACAAAGTTTCAGTAACCAGTACGGTCTGATGTATAAATAACGGTATATTGATCCCGACCCCCATAAAAGGTTTAGAAGTGAAAATTTTAACATGGATAGGTATGAGGGCCAAGAATAGGTGGTGTGCATCTTATTAAAATTTTAGGACACAAACTGGCTTAAAATTGAGAGAATGATGAGGCACACATAAGAGAAGTTATCTCAAGAATAAATACACCATAACTTTTAAAATACAGAAGAGCATTATGTATGTATACATGTTATTTGAAAGATTTCTAAATTCATTAAAAGGATGAATAGAAAAAGTGATACCTATATTTGTACTTTTTGGACTCACTCAATCCCATTGTTACCAATTGATATTTATGATAGTGTTGTTTTTTTTCCACAGTTGACAGGAAGCAGAGTATTAGAGAAACATAAATTTAATCTGCTCGAAATACAGGAATGCATAGATACATATTGTCTCAGGAAAGACCAAGCAGAACAGGTATACAATTATCTGAGGTTGTTCCTAATTTGTAAGGATTTTGATTTTTTTTTTCAAACATCCACAAATGTCAGGATGTTGAACTTTGTCATTTTAGGGTGAAATTATGTATCCTGGGTACATGGTTTATCTTGCTCACTCCTATAGTTTTTGCATCACCTGGGACTGAGTTCGAGACATAGTGATTACTATCCGCAATGACGGCAACTGCATAAACTATTTGTATAAAGCTTTATATTTCAGAAGTTAGAAGACCTGGACGCTTCATATCTTGTATGCAGATGCCTTATGTTTAAAAGTTTCAGTCTGTCATATGTCCATTGTCCTTGACCTCATTTTTCATTGTTCAGCGACTGCTTGAAAAAAAATTACAGTTTTTATGCCCCTGCCGTAGCAAGGGGGCATTAAGTTTTACCCTTGTCCATCCGTACGTCCCAAAGTTGGTTTCCGTTCTCTAACTTTAGTTTGCCTCCACCAAATGTTATGAAACTTATACACAATGCTTATTACCACAAAACACAGATCAAGTTTGAATATTGGTGTCGTCACTTAAACCGTTCATGAGTTATGCTCCTTTACAAATGGAAAAATTGCTGAATTTTTCGTTTACATTCTCTAACTTTAGTTTGCCTCAACCAAATTTAATGAAACTTATACACAATGCTTATAACCACAAAATACAGATCAAGTTTGAATTTTGGTGGTGTCACTTCAACTGTTCATGAGTTATGCCCGTTTACAAATGAATAAATTGCTGAATTTTTCGTTTCTGTTCTCCAACTTAAGTTTACCTCTACCAAATGTTATGAAACTTATACACAATACTTATTACCACAAAACTCAGATCAAATACAAATTTGAGAAGCATCACTTTTACCGTTCTTCAGTTATGTCCCTTTATAACTTTATATGATATGCAAGTGAGTCCCATGGAAACATTCCCCATTTATTTTGTCATGTGAATTTCTATACTCACTTATTATGAGTAATAGAATAACTATATTTGTTGTATGGATTCCTTGCAAGGTCTGCATATCAGTCATACAGGATTCACCTGACCTCCTCATTTCATGAATCTGTGATCAAGGTGAAGTTTTCACTGTCAAGTCCCTATCTCAGATACTGTAAGCAATAGGTCAACTATATTTGGTATATGGAATGATTGCAAGGTCTACATCTCTGTCTGGTAGGTTTTATCTAACCTTGACCTCATTTTCATGGTTCATTGGTCAATGTTATGTTTTTTTAATGGTTTTGTCTGTAACATGGCATAAACTGTCCGCTGATTACTTATAGGGGTTATTGCCCTGCAATGATTTTTTTTAACCCATGTTTTTGGCATATTATGCAAAAACTATATTAGATAAAAGAAAAACTACATAAATGATAGGTAAGACAGGATCTACAAATACCTCAGCTGGAATTTATCAGTCGACTCCTTTTAGGAGTTATTGCCCATAAATGAAGATTGTTATCTTTTTTATATGTTGTTCAAAAACTATTGAAGATAAAGTGAAACTGTAAACAGCAAACATTATCAGCAATACAAGATCGATTAATAAGAGATCTTAGTCACAAATTATATTTTAGTCTTCAATGTTGAAAATGCACAGAGATCCAGGCTAGATGAGCAACACTGGCCCTTCAGATATCATAGCTATTTCAACTACTTTATATAGTAATCATCTTTTTACAAGTATTTGGTAGAAATAAAACATGTTAGAACAGATATTTTAGCCATGGTATTTTGAACCCTCTACCATGGAAAATTGAATCTTCCCATCTATAGACCTCAGATTTTCAAATTGTCATAGCTAATCAAACTACTTTATATAATTATAATGAATTTAATAAGTATTTTGTAGAAATAAAAATATTTTTACTTCATCATTATATTTTGAACAGGGGGTTCAATTTTCCATGGTAGGGGACCATGGAAAATTGATTTTCAAATTGTCATCTATCGTCGTTCGTTGTCTGTTGTCCATTGACTTTTTCAAAGATCAACTCCCCTGAAACTACTGAGCCAAAGGAGTAAGCCAGGTAAGACCCTTTTTTGGCCCCAAAATATAGCATTTTTACAAATTGTTTAAAATGTAAACTTTTATCTATTTATTGGAAAGTAGAATATGGGCTGTTTTTTGACAATACAATGCACATGCATCAGGTACCAGCATCATTTATTCATTTAAAATTACTGAAATCTTCACAATTTTAGCATTTGTCCTAATTTTTAGACGATTTTTGTCGAGCTTTCGACTTTTGTCAAAAAAGCGAGACATAGCGACTCGTCGTCGTTGTTGTCGTCGTCGGCGGCGTCCACAAATATTCACTCTGTGGTTAAAGTTTTTGAAATTTTAATAACTTTCTTAAACTATCCTGGATTTCTACCAAACTTGGACAGAAGCTTGTTTATGATCATGAGATAATATTCAAAAGTAAATTTTGTAAAAAAAAAATTCCATTTTTTCCGTATTTTACTTATAAATTGACTTAGTTTTTCTGCCAGGAAACATTACATTCACTCTGTGGTTAAAGTTTTAGAAATTTTAATAACTTTCTTAAACTATCCTGGATTTTTACCAAACTTGGAAAGAAGCTTGTTTATGATCATAAGATAGTATCTGGAAGTAAATTTTTGAAAAAAAAAATTCCATTTTTTCTGTATTTTACTTATAAATGGACTCAGTTTTTCTGCCAGTTAACATTTCATTCACTAGGCTGTGGTTAAAGTTTTTAAAATTTTAACAACTTTCTTAAACTATCCTGGATTTGTACCAAACTTGGACAGAAGCTTGTTTATGATTAAAAGCTAGTATCTAGAAGGAAATTTTGTTAAAATTTTGTTCCATTTTTTCCGTATTTTACTTATAAATGGACTTAGTTTTTCTTCCAGTTAACATTACATACAGTCTGCAGTTTAAGTTTTTAAAACATTTATGAGATTCATAAACTATCCTGGATTTTTACCAAACTTGGACAGAAGCTACTTACAATCAAAAGATAGTATAGAGAGGAATATTTTTATTAATTTTTTTCCTCATTTTTGTTGAGCCTGCGATTAACAGCAAAAGCAGGTGAGACACTGGGTTCCGCGGAACCCTTACAAATTTTTGTCTTAAGGATGTACACCTCTGAGGAGCCAACAATTTCTAGAATTAAACTTTTTTTCTTAACCTGATTTTTGGGTTTATATGACTGTAAAAAGATAATTGGTGAAGAAAAAATCATATGGTGGTGCACTTCTTTTTTTGCTACAGCCATTTGAAAGTACCCAATTTTGATGATTTTCCCATTTTTCATCAATTTTTACCCATTTTTGGGCTATTATCATGAAAAAAATCACAGTTTCACAATTGAACTTTTTTTCATACTTTCACTAAAGATGAAGTGGACCAATCTGAATAAATTTAACTTAAAAAAAACTATGGTTAGGTGTTAATATAAGAAAGATTTATAAAATTTTGTTGCTTTTTCGTGTCAAATTTACCATGTTGTCAATTTTGTAAATTTGGGATTTTTCTCTTTTTTTAGAACAAAAAGCATATTATTTCAACTTCTTTGTTATAAATGATTTAAAAAATACATATCTAAGAAATTTGAAAAGAAAACATTGATATGGGATGTACATGTATCTGGTAAAATCATTTCTTGTACCCCTCACCCATTTTCTCAACATTTTGGCTAATGAGACTGACGTGATTGGTCATAAAATTTGAAAATTTTATTACTCAAATACTACTTATTGTAAATACACAATTTTTTCACAGAGTTAAGTTTGATTATAATATTTTTTAAATTCATTGATATTTTCCACTTATATCACATATTTTGGAAATAATTCCAGAACGAGATTTCAACGTGACTGAAACCTCAGAAGAATACATCCTTAAATGGAAGTGGCCGCACTTGTGTTCAGTCTTAACATTTAAATGTATTTTGTATTTGATGATAATACATAACATATATAAAAGTTGAGACTGAACAGGAATGCTGCCACTTACATTTTAGACAAAAACCATCTGAAAAGTGACTGTTTTATGGCAAAATTGATAGATTTTTCTTATTTAAGGTCAAGGAACAGTAAATGGACTATGTCACAGATTTTGGAATAATTTTGCACACAACTTTGGCTCTTTGAACTATATCTGAGAATCGAAAAAAAATAATGCCTTTATCTCTTTTATTTTCTGAAATATTACTGATTGAATTCTTTCAAAGTAGGTGAACATTTGTAAAGGAAGCACATAAAATCAAAGAAAAACATATTCTTGTATGGGACAATAAAACAAATCAAATGAAATAAAAGGCGAATCCCCTGAGATCACTCCCACCCCCTTCCTGGGAATGACTAATTATGGGAGCTTTGTTTTGGAGACTTCGTAACAGCATCATGTTACAATCATTTCTTGTATTAAGTAATTTTTTTTTAAAGTGGGAAAAAAGTTAAACACCCAATATACACATTTACAACCTATTTGAAATATTACACATCTATCGTTGCAAACTTTCCACAGGTGCTATCCAGCACTTTGATTAAGAAAAATATATGCATTAAAAAATTGGAAATTTGATGATTTTAAGACAAATTTAAGAATGTTTTTCGCCGATTTTATGTGCTTTCTATACAAATGTTTACCTATTTTGAAAGAATTCAATTAGTAATATTTCAGAAAATAAAAAAGATAAAGGCATTATTTTTTAGCTCACCTGACCTGAAAGGTCAAGTGAGCTTTTCTCATCACTTTGCGTCCGTCGTCCGTAAACTTTTACAAAAATCTTCTCCTCTGAAACTACTGGGCCAAATTTGACCAAACTTGGCCACAATCATCATTGGGGTATCTAGTTTAAAAAATGTGTCCGATGACCCCGCCAACCAACCAAGATGGCCGCCATGGCTAAAAATAGAACATAGGGGTAAAATGTAGATTTTGGCTTATATCTCTGAAACCAAAGCATTTAGAGCAAATCTGACATGGGGTAAAATTGTTTATCAGGTCAAGATCTATCTGCCCTGAAATTTTCAGATGAATCGGACAACCCGCTGTTGGGTTGCTGCCCCTGAATTGGTAATTTTAAGGGCATTTTGCCGTTTTTGGTTATTATCTTGAATATTATTATAGATAGAGATAAACTGTAAACAGCAATAATGTTCAGCAAAGTATGATCTACAAATAAGACAACTTGACCAAAATGGTCAGTTGACCCCTTAAGGAGTTATTGCCCTTTATAGTCAATTTTTAACCATTTTTCGTAAATTTTTGTAATCTTTTACAAAAATCTTCTCCTCTGAAACTACTAAGACAAATTTAACCAAAATTGTCCACAATCATCATTAGGGTATCTAGTTTAAAAAATGTGTCCGATGACCCTGCCCACAAACCAAGATGGCCGACATGGCAAAAAAATAATACATAGGGTAAAATGCAGTTTTTTGGCTCATATCTCTGAAACCAAAGCATTTAGAGCAAATCTGATGGTATAAAATTGTTCATTAGGTCAAGATCTATCTGCCCTGAAATTTTCAGACCAATCAGGCAACATGTTGTTGGGTTGCTGCCCCTGAATTGGTAATTTTAAGAAAATTTTGCAGCTTTTGGTTATTATCTTGAATATTATTATAGATAGAGATAAACTGTAAACAGCAATAATGTACAGCAAAGTTAGATCTACAAATAAGTCAACATGACCAAAATTGTCAATTTACCCCTTAAGGAGTTATTGCCCTTTATAGTCAATTTTTTACAATTTTCATAAATTTTGTAAATTTTTGTAAATTTTTACAAAATATTTTCCACTGTAACTACTGGGCCAAGTTCATTATAGATAGAGATAATAGTAAGGAGCAAGAATGTTCAGTCAAGTAAGATCTACAAACACATCACCATCACCAAAACACAATTTTGTCATGAATCCATCTGTGTCCATTGTTTAATATGCACATAGACCAAGGTGAGCGATACAGTCTCTTTAGAGCCTCTAGTTTTGATTCATCTACGAGCGAAAGGTGTATGCAAAATTTTTAAGAAAATCTGTGACATAGCCCATTTACTGTCATTTGACTTTAAGCTTGAATTTGAGCATCTTTAATGACCAAATCAGTTCAAATCTTTTACAAAAACTAATTGAATCGACTGAAGTAGACACTAAAGTTTAAAAAATGTCAAAAAAATTTCATCAGATGTACTCTAAATTTTAGGCCAAAATTGGCCCTTACCGACCCTTCTCCTTTAACCAAACTTGGCCATAATCAGTCGGGTATTTTGTTAAGAAATGTTTCTGATGACCTCTCCTGCAGACAAACATGGCCAACATGGCTAAAAATAGAAGATAGGGTAAATTGCAATGTTTGTCTATTATCTTGAAAAACATTTTTTATAGGGAAAATCTGAAAAAAGAGCAGAAATGCTCAAAATGATGAGATCTACCTAATGTCTATTGACATCAAAACTGTCAAATCAATTCTTATAGAAGTTATATTGTCCTTAAACACTGAATTTTGCCAATTTTTATACGCCCGTTTAAGGGACGTATTATGGTATACTGTTGACCGTCTGTCTGTCAGTCTGTCCGTCTGTCCGTCCGTCCGTCGTCAACATGTCGAACATTAACTCAAAAAAGCTTTAACCAATATGCATGAAACTTTGGTGAATTGTTTATATCTATTGACGTGAGCTACCTTTCCTTTTTGATAAATTTCAGATTTACCGTTTCAGAGTTTTGGGGTTTTAATCATTAAAAAAGGGGGGATTTTCCAGTTTTCTGACAATGACTCAAGAATGCTTTCACCAACTTGCAAGAAATTTTGGTGAATTGTTTATATCTATTTACATGAGCTCCCTTTTGGATTTTTATAAATTTTAGATTTAACGTTTCCGAGTTACAGGGTTTTATTCATAAAAAAAGGGGGATTTTCCAGTTTTCGGACAATAACTAAAAAATGCTTTAAGCAGTTCTCATGAAACTTTGGTGAATTGTTTATATCTGTTGATGTAAGCTCCCTTTAGAATTTTATAAATTTTAGATTTTACATTTCTGAGTTGTGGGGTTTTATTCATTAAAAAAGGGGGGATTTTCCAGTTTTTGGACAATAACTCAAAAATGCTTTCAGCAGTTCTCATGAAACTTTGCTGAATTATATATAGCTATTGATGTAATCTCCCTATTGATTTTCATAAATTTCAAATATGACATTGAGAAGAAATTGAACTTTATTTGTTTATAGTCTGACAACAGATTTTCTAAATATTGCGCAACAGCACAGTGTATTGCACAACAGCAAGAAATCTTTAATTGAATATAAATTCAATTCATATAACCAATTTTAAGTTCTTTGACTACATTTATTCAGAAACCTATAATATGTCAAATATTTAATTACAATCCAAATTCAGACCTGTATCAAGCTTGAATATTGTGTCCATTTTTGCCCCAACTGTTCAGTGTTGGACCTCTGCGGGCGTATCCAGCTGCGCTCAGCGAAGCAGTTTATTTTATTCATGTTTGCCTATTATCTTAAAATTATAATAGATAGACAAAATCTTTATATAGCAATATTGAGCATTTATGTTTTTTTCCCTAGTCAATTAACAAACATAGACGCCTGGCTAAAAAATGATTATCTTATATCTAAAAAACTATTTTTCTAATTTGCAAGTTTTTGCCTATAACCTTGAAAACTATAAAAGTTGGAAGAAACTGTAAAGGGGAAAAAATGATCTCCAAAAAGTTCCAATATATCTGAATCCCATTGGATGACTCCTTATAGGAGGTATTGCTTTTGAATGATGATTTTTGACTAATTTTCAAGTTTATGCCTATCATCTTGAAATTAATGAAAGATAGGTAGAAACTGTTAACAGCAATATTGATCAGCAATGCAAAACCTATAAAAATTCTTCTATGTATGAAATTATTGGATGACTCTAAATAAGAGTTGTTGCCCTTAAATGATGCTTTTTGACTAATTTAAGAGTTTTTGTCTATTTTTTGAAAAAATATAATAGATAAATAGAAAATGAAAACAGCAAAATGATCAGCTGTACAAAATCTACAAAAATGCCAATAGTGACAGCTATCAAATGACTCTTTATAGAAGTTAATATCCTTTATAGATGATTTTTTACTATTTTTTTAGTATTTGCCTCTAATCTTGAAAAATATATTATGCATGTAGAAACTGAGACTACTATAACACATATGTGTTATAGTAGTCTCAGGTAGAAACTGCTAATAGCAAAATGATGGGCAGTGTTCTCCCAAGACCGTTTTAGCGTCGCGGTACAGAGACGCTAATTTTTTTTCCTGTGATGCTATAATAATTTCCGCGACGCTATAATTATTTTGAGGATGCTATTTTACTTGTCTCTGGTCCAAGGACACAGTTATCGTCCTTAGATTTTCGTTGTCTACAAATACAATCCCTAGTGTGGACAGTGTATAACTTGCAATTTTTTTCATACACTTTCCAAATTTATTTCTTTATATTTTATGCATGAAATATTAAGTAAGGGGATGAAATTACATGTTAAAAAAATTTGGTTGCTGAATCTTTATGTTAAGTAGTGATTTGGTCCAGTTAAAAAAGGTCAAAACTAGTATGTCTGAAGCTGTCAAACTGAATTTTAGACCCCTTAACATAAAATTGTCAATAAACTACACTGTAAAAATCTTTTTGAGATAGAGCAGGTGCGATTTTTTTAATTTGACTTAATTTTTTTTTTTTTTTGGGGGGGGGGCAAGAAAAGGGGTGGGCTTATCTTGCCCCGTTAACACAAAGATATAACAATATAGGGTATTTAACAGGTTTGGGCTCATATAGCCTTTATTTTATTTAATTTTCTCAGTTTGAAATTGTTCTTTTTAGCCACTTCTTCAATGTTCAGCTTACATTCTTCTGAATACAAAAAATTCCTCTTGTCTCGTACGTCTAGCCAGTGGTCATGACTTCTTTTGATGGCGTTGTAGAAAGTTGTTTCTTTTTCTTTCTCGATCAGTTTGTAAGGATCCAGCTTATCTGAATAAACAAGGATAAAACTGTTTTCCTTTTCAACCTCGAATAGGAAGGTCTTTTGTGGTAGATCGAGAGTTATCTTTCCTATCCTGTATCGTGTAGTTTGTTCAGATGTTACCATTACTGCATAACTTGCTGAAAGTTGACCCTCGGCACCTGTTGTGCAGGCGGGATCCTTGTGTGGTGTACAGGATAGTTTTCTGTCGTCATTGAGTACTGTGACTAACGGTTGTTCCTGTGTAGTCATTTCCTCTGTATGTTGAGCGGTATATTCTCCGTTCTCTTCGGTGTTGTTGGTTGTATCTACATCTGGGTAATTTTCTAGACATTTTTTTTGAGCGGGTTCTCCGTTCTCAGTTGTCGATGGAGTGGCCTTCTTAGCTATAAAAGCTTCTAGACGGCGTTTAGTCCTGTCTGTTCTAGCTTTTGATGACCTTTCTGTGTCTTTTGTAATGTAGGTGACTCGGTCTGCTCTTCATGTTGTCTGGACTTTTTATACGACCGCAAAAAAATTTTGTGGTCGTATATTGGTATGACGTTGGCGTCGTCGTCGTCGGCGTCGTCGTCGTCGTCCGTCGTCGTCGTCCGAATACATATTGGTTTTCGCACTCTAACTTTAGTTTAAGTGAATGGATCTTTTTGAAATTTGACCATAAGGTTAAATACCACAAAAGGAAGGTTGGGATTGATTTTGGGGGTTATGGTACCAACAGTTAAGGAATTAGGGGCCAAAAAGGGGCCAAAAATGAGCATTTTCTAGTTTCCAGACAATAACTGTGGAAAGGTGTATGGATCTCTCTGAAATTATACTACAAGTTTCCATACCACAAAGGGATGGTTAGGATTTGCTTTGGGGGGTATGGCTCAAACCGTTTAGGAATTAGGGGCAAAAAAGGGGGAAAAACAAGGTTGTCCTGGTTAATGGACAAATACTTTAGTACAAAACATAATTTAAAGCAGTGTAAGGGAGATAAATCAAATACATCATTGAAATTATCTCCCTTACACTGCTTTTAAATTATGTATAAAGTAATGGTTAATGAACAATAAAGATAATCTAAAACAGTGTAAGGGAGGTAATCCAAATACAACGTTTTGGTTACTTCCCTTACACTGCTTTTAAATTATGTTTAAAGAAATGCATATTTATAAAGGAAGACCAGTAAAAATATCTGCAAATGTTTTCATCTTTTTTTTTTACAAAAAAATCCATATGAAAGATTTGACACTATATTTTTATTAATTCTATTATAAAATAGATTAAGTTAGCACTATGGTAAATTTAAATGGGTAATTATGGTTGCCAACTCCATTGGAAATTTGAATTAAGATTATGACCATATCTTGAGGGAAAGAATTTTTTTGGGGGAAAAAGGGGGGGGGGAATAAAAAGAAATTGTGGGGGGCCAATTTTTTCTCATTTCAGATTTCAGAAATTAAAAAGAATTATTCTTCAAATATTATTTTTTTTTCAAATTTCAAATATTGAAAAATTTCAAGAAGTAATCTTTAATTGCACAGTATGGCGCATTAGATTTGTAAAATCTTTGATCACATTTATTTATTTGTTATGCCGAATCTAACAGTGTATTTAGATTTTTAATTTTGGGTCCAGTTTTCAAATTGGTCTACATTAATGTCCAAAGGGTCCAAAATTAAACTTTGTTTGATTTTAGCAAAAATTGAATATATGAGGTTCTTTGATATGCTGAATCTAAACATGTATTTAGATTTTTGATTTTTGGCCCAGTTTTCAAGTTGGTCCAAATTGGGGTCCAAAATTAAACTTTGTTTGATTTCAACAAAAATTGAATATATGGGGTTCTTTGATATGCTGAATCTAACCATGTATTTAGATTTTTTATTTGTGGACCCCGTTATCTAATTGGTTCATATTGAGGTCAAAAGGGTCCAAAATTAAACTTTGTTTGATTTCATCTAAAATTGAATTATTGGGGTTCTTTGATATTCCAAATCTAACCGTGTATTTAGGTTTTTAATTTTGGGTCCTGTTTTTTAAATTGGTTTACATTGAGGTCCAAAGGGTCCAAAATTAAACTTAGTTTGATTTTGACAAAAATTGAATTCTTGGGGTTCTTTGATTTGCTGAATCTAAACATGTGTTTAGATTTTTGATTATGGGCCCAGTTTTCAAGTTGGTCCAAGATAGGGTCCAGTATTTAAACTTTGTTTGATTTCAACAAAAATTGAATATATGGGGTTCTTTGATATGCTGAATCTAAACATGTATTTAGATTTTTGATTATGGGCCCAGTTTTCAAGTTGGTCCAAATTGGGGTCCAAAATTAAACTTTGTTTGATTTCAACAAAAATTGAATATATGAGGTTCTTTGATATGCTGAATCTAACCATGCATTTAGATTTTTTATTTGTAGGCCCCGCTATCAAATTGGTTCATATTGAGGTCAAAAGGGTCCAAAATTAAACTTTGTTTGATTTCATCGAAAATTGAATTATTGGGGTTCTTTGATATGCCAAATCTAACCGTGTTTTTAGATTTTTAATTTGGGTCCCGTTTTTTAAATTGGTCTTCATTGAGGTCCAAAGGGTCCAAAATTAAACTTAGTTTGATTTTAACAAAAATTGAATTCTTGGGGTTCTTTGATATGCTGAATCTAAACATGTGTTTAGATTTTTGATTATGGGCCCAGTTTTCAAGTTGGTCCAAGTTGGGGTCCAAAATTAAACTTTTTTTGATTTCAACAAAAATTGAATATATGGGGTTCTTTGATATGCTGAATCTAACCATGAATTTAGATTTTTTATTTGTGGGCCCCGCTATCAAATTGGTTCATATTGAGGTCAAAAGGGTCCAAAATTAAACTTTGTTTGATTTCATCAAAAATTGAATTATTGGGGTTCTTTGATATTCCAAATCTAACTGTGTATTTAGATTTTTAATTTTAAGTCCCGTTTTTTAAATTGGTCTACATTAAGGTCCAAAGGGTCCAAAATTAAACTTAGTTTGATTTTAGCAAAAATTGAATTCTTGGGGTTCTTTGATATGCTGAATCTAAACATGTGTTTAGATTTTTGATTATGGGCCCAGTTTTCAAGTTTGTCCAAGTTGGGGTCCAAAATTAAACTTTGTTTGATTTTAACAAAAATTGAATATATGGGGTTCTTTGATATGCTGAATCTAACCATGTATTTTGATTTTGGACATTGGACCATAATAGGTAAATTAAAAAAATTGAAGTTCTTAGACCACATTCTTTCTGTGTCAGAAACCTATGCTGTGTCAAATATTTAATAACAATCCAAATTCAGAGCTGTATCAAGCTTGAATGTTGTGTCCATACTTGCCCCAACTGTTCAGGGTTCGACCTCTGCGGTCGTATCAAGCTGCGCCCCAGCGAAGCATTTTATTCCATCTTATTACTAGCTTGTATTCTCCATTCCTTGCTGAGAGGTCCCAGTTGGCGGTTTGATGTTCAAGTAAGTGTACAATGGTAAAGATATCTCCAGTCAAAAGTGAAGGTGAACATGACTCATTGCTCGCTGTCATAACGATTCACCTAATCTCGACATGTTTAACTAAAAGTATTCGATTAGCCAAATGAATTTAATTTGACTTTATTTTTTTAAAATTTTTTCCAGGACAAGAAAAGGGGTGGGCTTATCTCGCCCCGTTAACACAAAGATAACAAAGGGTATTTACGGGGGGTTTGGGCTTATTATCGCCTTTATTCTGTTAACTTATATCCAAATTTCTTTACTACTTCTTCTATGTCTTTTTTTCTTTCTTCAGTAAACAAGAAGTTCCTTTTGTCTCTTACATCAAGCCAATGTTCGTGACTCCTCAATATTTCTTTGTAGAAGACCGGGTCTTTTTTCTTCTCTATTCGTTTATAAGGAGCCAGTTGGTCTGAATAGACTAGAATGAAAATCTATTCTTCTTTTACCTCTAAAATATAGGTCTTTTGAGGTAAATCTAAAGTTACTTTATCTACCCTGGGTCTATGTATTCGTGGTGTTGTTGTTTTTTCCAATCCTGCAGTGGTCGTAAGTCGACCCTCGGCACCTGTTAAGCAGGCGGGATCTTTAGGTTTCGTATAGGTAGGTTTCTGTCTTCGAGGGAAGTTTCTGCCGGCTGTTCCTTTGCGTTCGATTCCTCTGGGGATTGAGCTGTAGTGTCTACCAGCTCACCGTTGTTGATGGTGTTAATGGCGTCGGGGTAATTTTCTAGGTCTTCTTTGTGAGCGGCATCTCCTATCTCATTAATTGTTGGCATGGATTTTCTAGCTATGAATGCTTCAAGGCGGCGTTTGTTTCTGTCAGCCCTGGCTTTCGATGACCTTTTCCGAGTCTTTGTTGTTATGGTTGGTGTCTCGACATGCTCCACATTTTTGGATTTCTTCCATCTTATTACAAGTTTGTAATTTCCTTTCCGTGCTGAGAGATCCCAGTCGTCCGGTTGATGCTCAAGCAAGTGTAAGATGGTGAAAATATCTCCAGTTAATAGTGGAGGTGAGCATGTCTCATTACTCGTTGTCATATCGATTCAGCTACCTGACATGTTTAATTAAAAGTATTCGATTAGTCAAATGATTTAATTTGACTTTATTGTCTAAAAGAAATGCACTACTTATAGGTTAGACAATACTTGGTCATGTTTTATGAAGATTTAAAGGGAAACTTCGGAAAAAAATGAAAAATTGATATTATGTTGATTATGTATAAAAAACCACAAATTCGTAAATATTAAAGTTTAATTCTGCTAGATAAGAGATCACCATCGATTTTAAATTTAGAGTATCACTTCTCCGCGTGCGGCCATTTTGACATCAACCCTGAATAGAAACCACGATATATCTACAAACCACAAAGGACCAAAACAAGCAGTAACCTAACGTAGCCGTAATTCACTTCTGAGGGTATTGAAAAGTGTACACGGCCGATAACTTGTAACCTTCCATTTTGAAACTATCAGGTGAATATACATCTTTGTCTTGCGTGTCCGATAGTGATATGATAGTCTTTACTTAACCATAGATATAATAGCCATTATATATATGACTAAACTCATACGCTTGTTTATAAATAACATTTATGGTGTAAAGAATATTTATGAAAATCTAAATAATTCCAAAAAAAGATTTGATAAAATAAAAATATATTTACATATTTTCCAAACGTAAATTGGGGAAAATGTAAGTAATTACTCGTTGTCAATAATTATGGACATTTTGAAACGTACAAATATTGATTTAACAAAATGTTCGCACTTGTCGATCATTGGATTATACGCCTAGATAGAAGGTTATGGAACTATAGATAGTCGCAATTTAGAATATATACATGTATATTGAATATACGAGAGAAACATCCAAAACCAATCTGATTTAAATACAGGTCGATATCTAACTTGCTTTAGTTCATCGAAGTTATGCACTTAGTAAAATCACAGATTTTTATTTCAATTAGATTATTTTGAACAGTTTAAGAAAGTCGTCATCATCACAATGGTTGTGTATTATGTATAATAATGTAATAATGTGAACATGGTTCTATTATATTATACCGGTAGTACCTCATGTCAATTTTCCTGTTCCGACTTGCATGTAATATACCCCGGTATATGCCACTGGACGTACACTAATGATCCCCAAAAAGCTTATTTGAAGAAATAAACTTCACTCCGAATAGACTGATAGTAGATGTATTAACGTCTGGTCAGCTAGAGGGTTGATTAATTTATTTAGTTAGATTAAAAGGGAGGGGGATAAACCATTCCTAATATTGCACTTATGCATAAAATATTAAGTGAGTGTAATATAAGAGAAAATATAAATACGAAAAGTCGCATATCTGGCAACTATAGAATTTCACGTACAATTGTCATTCTTAATCGAAATAACGGACAGTCATTAAAATACATGCATGTACACTTTGATAAAAAGGGGTGCTGCAGTTGCATATTATTCATCATAAATCTATTTCAAGTATATACTTTCCTGTCATTCTTATAAGTTAACGCAGAGACATGTAACTATACATCTCTAGTTAACGACAATCAACCATATGAATATTTGAATCTGATGTGAATTACCGTTCATCTCTTTCTTTTTTCTTCTTTTTTTTTTTTGATTTGGGCAGGTACACAAACATTGTAATGTTAGATATACTGTTCCCATGTTGGGAGGGGGCGGTGGTTAGAGGTAAGAATATCGAAAGTTACAAAATAAGAACGTTGTATTTATGAATTTACATGAAGAACTCTGATCTTGGGCGTAGGTTTCTTTTTTTAAGTTCAGTGATTTAAATTGAGAGAAAAAATCTGTCAGAATTTAAATCGTACCGGCAATTTCCACCTAAGACTCCTCTAAAATCATGAATGGTCATGCTTCACAATCATCAGAATTTTCTTTGCATTGGTACATTCTGTATCGGTAGTGATTTACCTTGACATTTCCGGGTATAACAGAGCTACTTGTATATTACATGTATGTGGTTAGGTGACATCCCATGAGGTCTTACGTATACAGGTTCACATTTATAATGGTTTCTGATAAAACAAGGTTTTATGACATTCACACTCCTGCATGTTCTTTATACCAAATTCTTATCTTATTTTCAGACCAAACGAGGATGTGAATATTTTCCAGGAAAAATATTGAGTATCAAAGTATCAAATTAATTTCGGGATTTTTTTCTTTCTTGGTATTAAATCACAGAAACTTAAAGAATATACTGCTTGTCCGCTTTAGGTGTATTCTTGTCGGTAAACGGACAGAAAGTCACAGGACAAAAAGTCACAGGATATAAAGTCACAAATTTGATAGGACAAAAAGTCACAAATAATTTGTTGACAATTGTTTGAATATATAAGAGAAAGATCTTGAAATATTTTCTTTTTATTACATATATCCATTTTTAGGTTTAGGAAATTGTTCATAAGCCTTGATAAATGAAAATTTATTAAATTTTAATCATGCAAAGTATAATTCCTTGGCACCATGAAGCCATTTAAGTACTAATCCACTTTGACATTTGTTTCCATAACAATTATTTGATCATTATTGATATTTATTGAATAAAAGTTAATAACAAAGTTGCTTTATATATAATAGTTCAAGAAAAAAACAAAAAAAAAAATTCTTAAAATTAGTGTTTTCTTGTTCAAAGAAAAATAAATTTAAAACTGAATTGTGACTTTTTGTCCTGTGACTTTCTGTCCTACATTCTTCTTGTCAGTTAAGACTGACATATATGTCTCTGGTATATAGTGGGTTTAGGAATGAATGATAAGTCTTGCAAAGGTACAAGATATAAAGCACATTGAAAATTGATTCCGCCGATGTGTCTCCATTCAAAAAAGGAAAGTTGACGTTAGATTGATTCTGTTATTTTTTTAAACATCGTTGGTCAAATAGCTAAAGTATGTATACGTTGTGAGATTTTAAATATTTTAATAAGGGCATTCCCGATTAGGTAAATGCAGATCGCTGTGGACGGACCAAGCTATATTAATCATGTAACCGCGATAATTTTCTCTAAACATTGAAATATTCAAGGTTAATACCCATGATAATTTGAAAAAGCAAGTACAGTGTATGGTTTATACGCTCATTTTCGTGGGCCATTTTTATTTATAAAATTATTTAATTGAAAGTAATTCAGAATTTCGATGTTACAACAAATACTCACCTTTCTATTTTAAAATTAAGCAAAATATAAAAGATATACATGTATATAACGGCGATTCAGGTATTTTGCCACCATATTCCTCCCCAAATAATTAATGTTTTTATCATTCATACGAAATGTTGTTCACACCTGTAACGGTGAACCGTGTTGGCTAAAATTCACTGAGTGAAGATCAAAAGAATAGAATTACAGAATGCTAATCTTTTAATTACCTTGAATTTAACCACGCATTCAACAGGTAGTCACTAAGTGTCACAGTACAATACACATTGTATTTTCACAGTACTTGTGGGAAATGTTTGCTAGACTGAAGTAAAAGTCTTCAGGTGAGAATACAAACATGCATTTGTAAAACAAAATCAGTTATATATGTTTGTTCAAAATATCCGTCGGAAAAAAAATTCATAAAAATATATTCTATTGTATGATTTACTTTTATTACTATAATCATATCATAAATCCTTTAAATATAAATCGTACATTTTAATTTTGAAAGTTGCACGGCTGATCACTTTACTTTCTTAATTATTAGTTGGTTAATAGCTACGCCAAAAGTCGTCGATGCGCTTTAAATCGCGTTATTAGATGATTAACGAACAAGACTTATAATGAGATTTATTCACTCCCGGCATGCAAAAAGACTTAAACTACGTCACATAAGTCAGGAAGTTGGAATAAATTAAATTATTAATTCCCAATTTTCTTCTTTATTAGTGTTCTTATCCAGA